TGAGCCTCGAGCTTCATATGATTGTAGCCTTAAAGACTCAGTCTTTAAGGCTAAGCTTTGTAGCTTCAAAGACTCGAGCTTTATACAACACTACTTTGAATCCATATACACTAATAATTTTTTATTCTGCGGTCAACACTCTCTACGATTGGAGGGTCAAAGTTTACATATTGTAATAAAAAAAACTCAAGATGTTCTTCATATCTCGATAAAAAATCAAAATAGTAAACAACTAATTTACACACTGTGTGCCCCCCTTGATACCTTGCAACTTCTGTTTAAAAAATTTTTTCATATAACAAACAGTTTACAAGTAAATTAGGTGTCACTGTTAGGCGAATCATACTTTATGTAGCTATAAGAACTGCATGAGCATAATTAAACACATTTCTTTTCTTGTACAAATGAAAGAGAAGAGTAAAAATAAATTATTTTAATTTTATTTGAACCACAGTAGAGTCAAATATGTAAAGATACATTTAATCTATCCTTTGGAATAAATTCGACACTGAAGGGATTAAAACGTTTTTCATAATAAAGTGTTTTTCATCGTTTCTGTGCCAGCTCCAAACTAATAACTTGCACATCACTCAAACCGAATATCATATTTGACAAAAAAAAGAACACATACAGTCTTACTCACCCCAATTTATCTTCCTCTTCCGACTCACTGTTGCGATCGTAAAACCTCTCCGGAATATTCATGATGCTGTCTTTGCGCTCACCCCGCCCTGCGGAGTTAGAGGAAAGCATTTTTCTTTCTGTGACTCGTACATCTCGCGATTACCCGCTCGGCAACCTGTGTGCACCGCGCCGCGCCCACTCGCTCGAAAGCGACACGTTCATCACCGTGTTTCTTTGTTATCTCGCAAACGGAAAGAGTTATGCTACCCTTTCGTTTCCTCTTAAACATGAAAACGCGCGATGTCACGCAGATTGTCGAGTCGTCGCTGCTCGAAATCCATTTCATACCTACTAAATCTTGCTGTCTACCTAGAGAGACTCATATATTTTTCTGAGCGAAGCCTTAATTTACGTCACAATCAACGAAGCTGTCAACTGGTATAATGTGTTGGAGTACTCTTGTACACTGTCTTTACCGGGTGTATCCAAAATCGTGGGTTAACCAAGAAGAAGAGGTAATTCCTTGGATAAAATAGAATCGAGAATGTGGAATAGAATTTTATCGTACAAGGTAGCCATTTTCAAGAAAACAAAGTTGAACGTTGAACGTTGACAAATGTTGAATGTGCGTTTGGCATTTGTGATACTGAATGACACTCAATTAACGTGTATGTGTGTTAGTCATAGTTTCTATTTATCGTAACCATGAATGCGAAACTATTAGATAGGTTTTTTGAATTTGATTCTCTCGAATATTGAGATTTGTATAAAAATACTTTTTTGTACCCTTTTGTCTTACTTTTGCGTGATGAATCATCTCGTTTTTATCGTACCATGATTTTGGATACACTATTTGTATTGGTACGATGTGGAGTCAACGATAAATTTTAGATAATTATGTACAATTTTGTATAATTTTTCAACATGTAAAAATTCTAAAATTTTCTAAAATTCTTCTTTTTCCTTTAAATAATAAATATGAATGTAACTTCTTCATTGAATTTGTCAACTAATGGTGCAAGAATATTTCACAGTTTCTAATCAACAACTACTTACCATCTATACAGATTGTAAATATGAATTCGTTTCAATTGTAAAGTCTGTGTTTTACATTTCCTTTAAATATAGAATTGATGAAAATGCATGTTGTAATTTCTTATCGTAATCAAAAGGCGAAGTGCCATACAGTTTGCCAATTCGGAAATATCTTTAACATATCCACGTGTACTTTCTACAATTTCAAATTCTTCGTTTATTCTTTAAATTTATAAATCTCCATGGTGACGTAGACAATTACTATATTTATAAACCACAAAATATTTTGAATTAGTTCTAGCTAAACAATCTATTACAATGATCTATGTAATCCAACATGTCAAATTAATAAATTATACTTAAAAATATTGAATCTGTGTATTTTACAGTCTACATGAAAAAGTCAATAAAAAGTAACTACATTTACTACTATATGTGTATTGTTACCACTAAGATATACTATTAAAGGTACTTTAACTGTAAAGGTTACATTAATTATGATAATACAATCTTTACTACGATTACCATCAGACAACCAGGAAAGGAGTGGAAAGCAATTAGCGTGGATAAATCAACGGATGGTATAGTTAATTACACTAAAGCTTCCTACTTACGCTTTTCTTAGCTACGTGTGATAAAATTCTAGCTAAGAATTGGAGCAGGTACTTCAATTGTAGCTACTTCTTCAACGCCTACGAAATTGCTAACGTTACGTACATATCGCTGATACGACGTATAACCTATTGGTTCTACTATGTCTACATACTCTACGAACTACAAATGCTACGAACATGTACAGTGATTAGGTTACTACAATACGTACAATAAGTTAGAGTTATCATTCTTCCATACTTCTTTACTCTAAAACATGCTCTATCTTCTGTTCTAGATTAAGGTTGCTGTATCTTTTATTTCTGTTGTCGCTGAATGCAGTCCGAGAAATGCTAGCACAACGGAATTTCATCTTACAGAAAAAATTTCAAAAAGATTTTTAATTCAATTGAAAATGAGATTTGATAATTTATTGTTACATATTTGTTGAAATATATTTAAATCAGTTTCTTTTTTAATTTCAGGTGTGTGTATATGTAATTAGCCGTCACATTTAAATAGGTATAGTGGTTCTATTTTATTTCATCGATGGAGAATTCGACTTTAACAGAAAAATTTGACAAATATATAGAAAATGAGGAAAACTATTTCAAGTCACGGATACGGTTGGAGTTGTTTAATATTGATAATAATTTTTTATCTAAAAACGAAATTTGTTCAAATATATAATCTCATTTAATGAAAATTTAAAAGTTACATAGGAGTTTGAAAAATTGCATACATAGATATGTACATTCTGGAAATTAATGAAATGCCAAATTTTGTACTTTGACCTCTATCAGAGGTACATTGTGTTTGATATATGTATTGGAAACATGCCCGAAATTCATCATGAAGCATGTTTAATACACATTCCGATAGCACGTATGGAATCTACAGACTGACTATGGCTACGTTGCAATTAATGGGTCAATTTGTGATAAGGTTGATCAATGAAATGATCATTTCGTATAAGTTCCCTCTACTTATTTCTTTTTAATATTTAATTAACTATTGGCAAAAACCGAAAAAAATGTTTACATTTATGTGACTAATATTATGCTAATACTGTAAACAAGCAGAGAATTTATTCCACGAAATTCAAATTAATAATAATCCAATTCAATATATTTTTCGTATAATAATTGTAATTGTTTTATATTAATTGTAAGTAAATTTCAATTCGAGTGTACTTTTCGTAAAATAGGTCAACCGGTTTTCTAACTAGATCCCTCTTCGATCCTGAATGCCCCCAAAACTATAATTAATATAAGTAGTACGATGTAATTGTACGCAAAAATTTGTAGATTGAATCAATAGAGAAATGGAAAATCAGTTAAAGATATAGTCGCATACAATTTTGTCCAACTAACAAGTTAAGGTTACATTAAGTAGTATAAGTCAATAATTAGGCAATCATATGTATACAAGGCGGTCCTTAACATGAAGGGCGTACTTTAGCGGCGGATGAGGGACACAAAAACAATGAAAAAAGGTCATATAAATATGTTTCCTATTGGACCTTGTTCTCGAGTTATAAAAGTTTTTGTACTCCTTGCCTTTATAGAATGCGTTCGAAATGGCTACGTTCGGGCTTAATGCAAGCCTGCAGTCGTCGTGTCATAGATAGAGATGTCTTGCTGCCCATACATTGAATGCACGTCTGCCAATTCCTAGTTTCAATGCTGATGAATTATCAAATGCTCTTATCAAGGGAACTAACTAGACTAACTCATAGAACAGAATAGTCAAGAATTTGCATAGAAAAAGTTTAGCAGAATCAGTGAAACTACATAGCTTAAATATTATTTGTGTACCAAAATAGTTATAATTTGGGAGCAAGGTCAAATAGGGCATATGTGTTGTATCTCCTGTGTACCACTGAAATGAGTCCCACATGTTAAGAAACATCCTGTAAAATACAACTGTATTATAACTATTAATCTTATTCAGAAGTTAAGGTGACAGTAAGTAGTACAGGTCAACAACTACGCATTCTTGAAATTCTTATTTACATGATTCGTTGTGCAATAATAATATTATTATTAATTTTAATTGTTGGAACATTTCGACTTGAAAGTGATGTTTGTTACAAAACCACCTAAAATACAGTAAAATAAAGATGAACTACAAAGCATTGCCTAAAACTAACCCAAGTGGTTCGAACTAGCTGGACCGAAATAATGTGAATGTTACAAATTATATATATATACCATTGATGCACAATATTTCAACAAATGTTGTATGTAGATTCCTATGAAGCAAATTTGCATTCTCTAAATGTATTCAGCGAAAAATTGTTTTCCTTACCTAGAGTCATGATTGCTGATAGCAACGAGTGGTTAGGAATTGAGTGTAATCTACAACTACATAATTCTACACCACTCACTAACTACTTGAACTAAAAGCACTACTGATGCAAGTAAAGAGGTAGGTAGTGGTATATAGTGTACAGTTCTACTTATGTACATTCTGGGTGAGTATAATGTTCGGGGTAATTTTAATTTTTAATATGTATACATTTATTGATATGTAAGTATGTACAGAGCAACTTATCGAGGCAAATAATTCCTTTTTCATTTCTTTTTCGATGTATTAGAATCTTTATTAGGAAACGTAAGATATGTATCTGTTTTCCTATTTTTCTAAGTGAATATGCTAAATATGTAAACACTTAAATAAAAGAGAGTTACAAAAGTGTTAGAACGTAAATACAAGTAATAGTAAATAAAATATAATAGAATCGATGATAAAACAAATAAGGTTATGTAGTCCTATCGAAAATATGTGTACACACATTATTGAGAAGCAAGAAAATTAATAACTGGTATTTTATCATTTAATTCTTATACCGTTGGTATACTACGATTAGATGTACGTTTATTATATTATTTGTTATATCATGCTTTTTTGATTATGTCCTTTCACATTTACCTGTCAAATGTAGGGCACGAGTAATCTCTTCTCTATAATCAATGCATGCTCAAATATACTATATTTTTTCTGTATTCACTTAAAAGCTCTATTAACATTTTTAGCTGAATAAAATTTTGTAATATATGCTTCAGTGAATTAAACATTTCTATAAACAAAGTGTACTATTTTGTCTTTGTTCAAGTTTAACTAGACAGCTGAAAGAATTTGTTCCGTTTGATTTATAATCCACCTTCTTTAAACGATCAGAGTTGAAGCAGAATACATAGAAACGTGGGTTATTAAAACATTTTATAAACAAGTTACAACTCTATTGGAAGATATTCCTTCGATGTACAGGGTTTCACGTGAAACAGACTACTGTAATGCTTTGCATCATAATATACGCTGTTATTTATTGTTCGATACTCATATTGTTTAGTGAGATTAATGAATCAATTAAAATTGTTATATTCAGTCCACAACTTAATTTAATGGTCCTGCATGTGCAGTACTGGTCATAAGTACAAAAATTACATAGAATTATAAAGTTACGTACTGTGTAGTT